CTCCCTCCCTCCCTCCCTCCCTCCCTCCCTCCCTCCCTTCCTTCTTTTTTGAGTTGGAGTCTCGCTCTGTCACCCAGGCTAGGGTGCACTGGCGCAGTCTCAGCTCACTGCAAACTCTGCCTCCTGGGTTCAAGCAGTTCTCTGCCTCAGCCTCCTGAGCAGCTGTATTACAGGCACCTGCCACCCTGCTGGCTAATTTTTGTATTTTTAGTAGAGACAGCGTTTCACTATCTTGGCCAGGCTGGTCTTGAACTCCTGACCTCGTGATCCACCTGCCTTGGCCTCCCATAGTGCTGGGATTACAGCAATCTTTTCTAGGAGACTGCATGAGTGATCCCCACATGAGCAATTTATTAAGCACTTTCTGTATGCCCTAGAAGTGTTACCTCCTCAGAAGTCCTAAGGAGGAGTGGAAACTTCTTGGGGAGCCTTGCCCAGAAAGGATAGCACTTCCCAGATTTATCTGGAATTGAGTTTTTCTTTCATACATTCAGGGAAACATTTGCTAAGTGGCTCCCCTGTGGGAGGTGCCAGTCGTGCAAAGATGAATAGGACCCGTTCTCAAGGCCTTCTATTTCCAGCCTCATCTTTCAGTGTCAGCCTCACACTCTGTTTTAATTAATCAATTGAACAACTATGTATTGAGCACGTGAGCCATGCTAAGCCTTGTGTGAAGTCCTGATGATACAGTGGTGGATGAAATAGACCTGGCACCGCCCTTCTGGAGCTTACATTCCTCTGGAAGAGATAAGCAAGAAGGAAGAAGGAGAAGAAACAACCTCTAACAAATGAACGATTCCTTGTTATCAAAGAAACAGACCTGGGACCAAAGTAGGGGCTGGTGGCACCAAGTTGGTCCTGGTTTTGCAAGGAAAAGCCTTTCTGAGTTTGGAAAGCAGAGAAGGAACTGGCCAGGCAGAGAGATTGTGGGGGAGGGATGGGAATGTGCAAAGTTGGCTTGGTGTGTTCCAAGGAGTGAGGGCAGGGCTAGAGTGTAAGGAAGAGGTGGGGGGAATGGCACAATGTGAGGTTTGAGAGGGAAGTGGAGGGGGGGATCACATAGTCAATTATAAGCCATGCTGGGGAAGAGTCCCCCCACCCAAAGGGAAGCTTTGGTGAGTTTAAGCTCAGCAGTGAGAGCTGATTGGCTTTTTTTTTGGACAGAGTCTAGCTCTGTTGCCCAATCTGGAGTGCACGATCTCAACTCACTGCCACCTCTGCCTCCTGGGTTCAAGTGATTCTCCTGCCTCAGCCTCCTGAGTAACTGGGATGACAGGCATGTGCCACCACGCCTGGCTAATTTTTGTATTTTTAATAGTGATGGGATTTTGCCATGTTGATCAGGCTGGTCTCGAACTCCTGACCTCAGGTGGGCCACTGAGGCCAGGCTGATTGACATTTTGAAGAGATTGCTTTGACTGCTTTGATTAAGAGTGGATCATGGAGGCAAAGTGTAGAAACAGGGAGACCACTTAGGAAGAAAGATGATGGTGGCTTAGAACGGGGCAGCAGCAATGGAGGTAGAGAGAAGTGGGCGGAGTCTACTTAGATCTTGGAAATAGCATTGATGAGATCTGATGATGGATTTCATCAGAATGAGGCAAGGGAAGGGACTCAAGGGTGACTTGGGATTCTAGCTTGAACAGCTGGGTGCATGGTGGCATTGTTGTGGCAGACAGGAAGACTAGGAGGATTATGCTCATGGAGAAAATCAAGTTCTGTATCAGCCATCTGAAATTTGAGATGTCTAGGAGGCATCCTATGGAGATGGCAGGCAGGCAGGAAGCCACATGACTGGACCTCCGAGGAGACTTGCGGGCTAGAGACATTATTACCAGCCTGCTCTGGAGCCGCCAGAGTGCTTGCTGGTACACGTCCTGCTGTTTCATTTCCCTGAGTGTCTGCTTACGTTCTTCCCCAAGCCTGGGATGCTCTTCCTGTCTTCCAGGCTAATTGCTGCTCATCTTTAAACAGCACCTGCGTCTTTATCTCTTCGAAGATGCCTTTAACTCCTTCCCTTACTCTTGGGTTCCTGTGTTTACTCTATCGTGTGTTCAGTTGAGGTTACCTTTTTTTTTTTTTTTTTTAAAGTGTCTTATGTGAATGAAACACTTGGTGCTGGCCTTACCACATAGTGAGTACTCACAGTAAGGGTAAATTCAACAAATGTTAGCTATTATTGTTATTATTGATGGGGGTGATAGACTTATAAATATCAGGATAAGCATAATGATAGTGTATTAGTTTCTTATTGCTGCTATAACAAATTACCACACACTTTGTGGTTTACATCATACAAATTTACTATCTTACAGTTCTGGAGGTCAGAAGTCTAGAATGGATCTTGCTGGGCTGAAATCAAGGTGTTGGCAGAGCTACGTTCCTCCTGGAAACGCTGGGAAGAATCTGTTCCCTTGTCTTTTTCAGTGTCTGTAGGCCACTTGCATATCTTGGCTTGTGGTCTCCTTCTACCACTTTGAAAGCCGGCAATGGTGGTCTTAATCCTCAGGCTTCCATCTCTCTGGTTCTCCCTTCCAGCATCTTCTTCCACCTTGAAAGACACTTAAAGTTATTCCATTGGGCCATGTGTATAATCTAGGCTACTCTACCTCTTTTAAGGTCAACGCTTTGCAACCTTAATTTCACATTACATGTAACTTGTGTAACCTAATGTATTCACAGGTCCTGGGGATTAG